CTGTCCCCTCAAGAAAAGAAAATCCTTATTCTCTAGGGTCTGCATTCACAGTTTTCCAGATCACCTTTGCTACCTCTCTGTTGTCCTCTTTCTTCTTTGTGTTCACTGTTCAGAAGGCCTGAATAGACTTTGACAGAGTGGTATAGACAGACATACATACATACAAACACACACATATACAAATGTATATACATGCATATGTACATACATATGTGTATGTATGTATAAGTATGTATATATATTTGCATGTGTATATATATATATGTGTATGTATCTCCACATGCGCATGCACATGCTCACACATACATGCATATACGTACCCTTGCTATACTAGGATGCTTACATGACTGCAGAACACCAACCATGCATAAGGACATCCACATGCATTTTTAGCTTGTGTGTAGGATCTATTTCAGGGGTTGTCTATCAGCCAGGATTGAAATACGCTTGAAGGTGTTCTCTGAGTCCAGAGTTTACCTGTCCTTCCTCTCACTCCATTATGTTACCATTCTACCTTTTACTAAAGGTTATCTGCCATTAATATTAGGTATTGGACAGAATACATTCAATTTTCATGGGCAGAGCAAATATAACTTAAGGGAAGTCAGAGAAGCTGTTTGTCTTAGAAATGAATGTAACCCATTGATTAGAAGTACGTTAAGTAGTAAAGAGTTCATGTGAATTATAAAAAAATTAGTTTGTAAATTTAGCTACAGGCAAATATGCTGATTTCTTGTTTACAGTTGTAACCCACCTGCTGTTCCCTACCTTGGAATGTACCTGACAGACCTGGCATTCATTGAAGAAGGAACACCAAACTTCACTGAGGAAGGTCTTGTAAATTTTTCCAAAATGAGAATGGTAATTTTCAGTTCCTTATATGCTTTCCCAACAGGTGTTTAATTATGTGAGTTAATTATTGATTTAATTACAATTCCTTTGAATTTAACTTCTAAGATGTACAGGTATATTGGCACCATGCAAGATAGGTAGCTATTTGAAAGCAATTACTTGACCCAGTCTTCTAGCACCACCTTCTGGTAAAGTGAGTATTTTTACAGGGTGAATTTGCCTCCAATTTGTTCTTTGAGAAGTGACAGAAAAAGCAGCTGCCTGGAGCTCATGAAGGAGCAACAAAAAGCTTTCTGGAATAACTAAAATTAAAGGAATGTAGTGATTCACCAGAAAGCAGTAACCCAATCTTCTTTAAGTGTGCTACAGTCTATCTAAAAAAGCATTTTAAAGTTGATTTCTCTCCAACTACCATGTAATGTTGTTTTGTAACAACTCAGAGGGAAGCATGGAAATTTCTCTTCTAATCTCACCTTAATGCCCTTATTATGGCTACACACTGCAGCAGTCACTCAAGACAAAGAGAGGTTATCAGTATGGGGAGGGGAGAGACAAGGTGGTTCGCTTGAGGCTGATTGAAGAATAAATGGTTAATTTAGGAAAGTGAAGTCCTTGGAAGCCGTTAGCAGATGATCTCTGCCCTTCCCTTTTGTCCTTGCAGGCTAAATGGCATAATTTGGTGCAAAATTCTTGCCCTATGTGGCTTAGCTGAAGTCAAAATGCAGTTGTACTTACTCACGTACATGTATTCTTTTGAAAGATCTCACATATTATCAGGGAAATACGCCAGTTCCAGCAGACGTCCTACCGCATAGAGCATCAGCAGAAGGTAAGGCTCTTCTTAGGCACTGTTACCTACTAATGAAATGAAAGCTGTGGTAGCAATTAGTTGTAAGATACAGCTGTTGTTAAAAGCTAAAATCAATGTATTCTGCTCCCACACACAGAAAGGAGAGGACAGGCAGAAATATGGACTGGTACTCTGGGGCTGTAATACCCTCACCCTAGCAGAAACTCTTTATTTTACACTGTATATAGAAGCAAGTTTTTTTCTCCTTTTCGGGGAGCTCTCTTGGGATTGCAGCCTTCATGGGTCTGGGGTATGAGGGAATGGGTTCAAATGGAAATGTATTCTCCCTGCCCAGTTGGAAGTGTAATTCCCCAGGGAACCCCAGAATCCCGGGATTAGGGGACGGGGAGATGGCCCAAGCATCTGCTGATGCTGTGTGCATCCTGCAATTCTTTTCCCCTTGTCCCTCAAGGGAGTGATGAAAATTTGCCCAAAGCCAGTCTGCACCTTCAGAGAAGATTTTCTCTCAGACTCCAGAAGAGCAACGTGGGCTTAGGTCACCTGGCTAAGGACTTGCCTGTTCCTAAGAGGCTGTACTTGATTCCTAGAGTGCTGCTGGTGCAGCTTTACACCATTCAAATGAGCTGTTGTGTTTCTCAAGAAAACAAGATGAGGGAATCTCAGGATCCAAAATGGTGAAGGAGAAAAGGGAAAGCAGAAGAATTTTTATGGAAGTGACATACAGTCTGTTCATCTGTGTTTTCTCCATTCCAGGTCACTCACTATTTACTTGACAAGACACTCATCATAGATGAAGATACCTTATATGAGCTTTCCCTAAAGATTGAACCCAGACTCCCTGCCTGAAGAGCCAGCTTTGCCTCAGAGTCTACAGAAAGCTTTAGTCCAATGAACAAAACCATGCATGCCAAGTCCTAAAGACAGCAAGGGAAATATTGAGAAGAGTGCAAGCTCTCTTTTCCAATAAGAGATACAGAGTCTCACAGCATTTCCCTCTCAGGCAACGAAAATGAGCATTGGAGGTGGAAGACAAAGATGCTTCCTACCTGGATTAAGTGATTGCTGCTTTGCAAAGATAATGTTTTGCAGTAGGGACTATGCATTTAATGGAATATAGGAGACTTTCCTGTGAACGGGTACTCATTGTAGCCATCTTATGTGAGAAATTAAGGGGACAGATGTAAATGGTGGTAATATACTCAGGTATATTAAGATAAATGAGCAAAATGAGATGGCTGTGATGTGGTCTGGGTTGATGGCTAACTATGCGTTCACTGAGGCAGTAATGGTAGTGGTGTCCTCATATCGTGTTAACTTCATTGAAAAAACAGGATCTTAACAGTCATCTACTATCTTGGAGTGACATTAAGGTAGCATCTAGTATCTTTAGATCTGCAGTTGTTCAAAATACTTGCTACACATTTAATGCTACCTTTTACAAAATGTTACCTTCTTTAAATGTCTTGTCAGCCTTTTCTAAGGTGACTGATTTTACCTATAAATGGATTGTAAATATTTTTTCATTAATACACAATGAGAGTATTTACAGCATGGAAAGCAAATGAACTAGTTGAACAGCTGTAAATAGTTGCCAGCCTTGCAAGCTTCAGCTGGGAAATACAAGCGTAGGAGCTATACCTGAGACTTGAGAAATCTGGACATACAGTGAATGGGATGGTTAGTCACGTTGCACACAGCCCTGGAAAAGGCACTTTATTTTTCTGCATCTCCTTCAGCTTCTCTGACAAGTCAGGCTACAGAGCACTTTCTGGTCACACTGCGGAGAGAAATACATGTCTGGTCTCGCAATGGGTAGTGATCAGCAATGAACACTAGGAGTTGGAGTGACAGTTTTGTTTCACGTGGAATCAGTGGTTTGAAAAATGTCTATTTTTTTTTTCAGCCATTTGGCACTGACTTAGCTCTAAAATTGTTCACATCAGTGGCAAACTTTGAATGCCAGCAAACAGAAAAGATATATTTTTTATCTGAGCTAGTAATTCTCATTTGCGTATGGGCATATGTTTAAGAAAATGTGCTATTTATAAATGTTTTCAAAACCTATGCTTTTGTGACATACCAGGTAGATAGATGTCATTTCTACAGCTAGTTGGTACTTCCTAAATTTTCCTGATCAAGAGTGGCCTGTTGTAGCTGCATGGAAAGTGAGCTCAAATGCATGCTGTAAAGTGCATCATAGTATAAAATGCAGGTATTAGCACTGTTGAAAAAAATTGGCTGGAAAAGTGTCCTTACTTTTCCAATGATATTCAGCCAGTTGAAGAAATAGGGCTATATCACTGTATACCTCCCTTAAATCTTCTCAGGGAGACAGATATTTAAAATAGATTGTGACCTAGGCCTATTTGATCTGACATTTCTTACCACAGTCATGATGCTTCTTAACGCTGGCGATGAAAAATGGATCTGCCTGGCTTGTGGTTTTTGTCTTTATTTGCACTTTAATTATATTGCTGGCCCAGCCCAGAGCTGCACAACAAATTCCATTCATCCTGTCTGAGTGTAACTGCTAGGATTTATAAATGTACCTTAGCAACTGTAAATTTCATTAAGGTTCTTCACCACAAGGACCATCTCTTTGTAAATAACTGCATGAGGAAACATCACAAATAGTGGAAAATTCCTGGATTAGAAAAGCAGACAGCAACAGAAAAGGAAATTCCAGAAACAGTTACATGGAAAATGTTACTTATAGAAGCTTGTTATTGGCAAAAATGTGCTTGTTCTTTTCACTAATGACTGACAAGAAGCTGATTGCATCCCAATGCATGATATGAAAAAAAAAAAGCATGGTTTTCTTGGACCACAAAACCAACTTACTGTGTATTTTCTGTACAAAAGCGGTTACCATACAGTAGTTTCATAAAACACTTTAAAGTAATTAAGACACAGGGAAAAAGTGGTCCAAAAAGTGATTTCTTAACTTGGTTTTATTGTTTCTCTGTTAACAAAGAAAATGTGTAATAACTGTCAATGTCAATTGGCGTCTCTGTTGTATACTATTAACTGCTGCTTTATCTGCCTGTACCCCATTTTACCAAACTTCCTTGACATTCTTAGGATAACAGGGTACAATTCTTCATCCTACTCTTTTCACAGTTCGTTGTTTTGTACTTTATGTGTGTATATCGGTTCTTCAGAGTTTCAAAACATTCAATGCATTTTAATGCTTGCAATACGCAGGGGTGGTGCTGTGCTTGTGCTACAGTATTACACATAGACAGAGAGGAAGACAAAGGATTAGACATAGATTTTTTCAAAGGTGCTGAGCATCCATATCTTAAAATCAGTAGACAATGTGGTAGTTCAGCCCCTCTGGAAAAGCATATACTATTTATATGCCAAAAGTTACCTCCTGGGTCAGTGGCACAATTTAGATTCGAATCACTAGAGTAACTAGATACTTGATTTGTGTTCAGAGCAACAAAAAAATAAAAAAAAAAAAAGGTTATGGTCACAGTAATGTTTGTTTTGCTGATGACTAATATTAATCTTTTTGGTTGGGGATACAATGTGTTCATTAAAATACAGGAGGTGACTGCTCAAAGAAGTGAGCATGCATCTTGTTATCCATGACCCTAGCCAGTGTTGCAACCCTAACCAGAGCTGGAAACAGCTGTTCTGCAGAAATCCTACACAGCAGGTATAGAGCAGTGTGTCTGCCCCACAGCTGGGTTGTGTACTTCACATGTAAGTGGCCTGGGTGCCTCTGCTACAGTACTGCTGCAGTGTTTGAGCTATTGCAATAGTTAGTAGGCAGCAGCAACCTGCTTTATGTGAGGCTTTGCCTAGTACATCTATATAACCAGCTAGTGCAGTGATCTCCCTGTACAGTGCACAGGGATTGTGGAGCTCCTTGCTACTGGCTTCTCTGTGCCACTCCACGACAGCCATATAGTATATAGAGATATAAATCCCAGTCACGAAACACCCACTGTTTGCCTCTGGTGTTTTAGGGAGGATGTCTCCAAGTAAGGACTTTGTCATTTGGATCTTGCTGTCTTTTAGGATCTTATCCATTATAGCTTTTATGCCGTGGAAGCAGAGCAGACTCGCTTTCCTGCGATTGGAGCTCAAAAAGCCCAGCTGATTCAGGATTCATAAGAAAGAGAAGGGCTGAAGCGCCTATTACTTGCCTTTCTTAACTCCTCAGCCGGTCAGATGCGAGAGCAGTTCTCACACTGGAGGGGCTGCTCCCTTTGGCACTCTCCAGACAAAAACGCCTCAGGGTGTGCGGGCTGGCTAGCTGCAATGGGGATAGCATATTTCCAGTATTTTTTATTGCGTAAGTAGCAGCCCGGATTCAGTCCGTAGTTATCTGGGAACCTGGGCAGCAGCACAGACACGTCCCCTTCCATGTGACAGAGAGCACTTGTCACGCTGATACGGGGTTAGAGTTGCCTTCACCCCAGCCTTCACTCCCCGCTGTCTCTCCTCTCCCCACTAAATTCACCAGTATTGTTAGTGGACCGAGGCCGTGATTAGTCATCATGTGGAAGCAAAAAATAGATCTGTTGAATTTACAGTGGCAGTAAGTGTATAGTCTGTCCCTTTCTTTCGGCTAGTCCTGTAACACACAAACGCGTAGCTTAATAAGTGAGAGATGATCCTGGGACTGATCACCCTTATTTAAAAGTAAGGAAGAGCTCGCCATCCTCTTTCTGCTTTCCTAGTTCTTAATACTGATTATTTTTCTGTAGGATAAAAAGGAACTTAACTATTTAAAGTATTTATTAACTTTAACCACATTGATTTTGATTTCAGAACATGTTCATTATCCCAAATTTTCCTTCATAATCATTATTTATTTTAAGGGTTTTACAAAAACATTGTTTTATTTGTATCAGTATTCAGTCTTTCCTCCTTTCACTTTTATCAGCAACATTAAACTTAGATACCTGATTTCAAATTCTCACTGATAGAGACATTTTTACCCACTCATAATTGTTATTCATTAAGGGCACAATCCTTCAGACCTCATTCTGATAATACCTTAGGCTTCACTGAGAGCTTTTCATAAGTAAGTATTTGGGGATCTGGCTCTCAGCTATTTGCCTGTTACAGTTTTTGCCTCCAAAGGTCAAATGTCTCTGTGTAGGATGCTTTGTGTCCAATACGCTGCTCAACTATGGTTGTTTTGTTGTACCTTTACTTTTGAAATAGTCTCCGAAGTTTTGTTCTTTAGGAGAATAGATGTATGTTTATTTGACAGATGTACCTATATCTAACATGTTACTTAGTGCACAATCCAGATGTTTTTGCATGTATTGTAACTTATCTTTTGACCTGAGTTCATTGCTTTGTATTGTTAGTAAGGCATATCAGGCAGGGTGTTGTGCCTATATGCTAATTAAACATTCTTTTTTTTCCTGAGTTTCAAGAGTCCTTACCAATATCTGTTTATTTTTTTACCCCCCAATGGTGAATAATTAGAGCTACTCCTTCTGAATTACTGAGTCTTTTAGAGAAACATCGGAGCAGAAGGGCCAAGCCATTAAGGGCAAAAATTGGAGAAAATTCTAGGCTTCTTTACTGGGAAAGAATGGTTTGAATTACTGCATTTTATTCTTTGTTCACTCATGCTGCATTGCAGCTGCTGTGGGCATCATTGGGAATAATGCTGATTTTAACTTGGAACAGAGAAGGAAGCCTACTTCATACACAACTAGAAATGCTGATCCACTGTGAAGTGTACAGCATAAATGACTAAATAAGACATTTAACAGATTAAACTGAACCAGCTGCACAACTCATTTTTCTTCAGCTGAGGAAAGCCTCTCCCCTTCCATACCTTTATTTCCTTTATAGGAAGCTACAAGTAGGTA